TGGCAAACTGATGATATGCGTAGGTTAAATAACCAAGTTTAGTTTTAAGCTTAACTCTCCTCTTTTAGCTGAGAAGGCATTTTCTGGCTTAGTAATAGACTTGGGTAGCTGTTAGAAACCAAAACAAATCAGCTTCCAAAAAACCCCATGTCAAATTAACTATAGATCAAGGGAAAAGCACAGTACTTAATTATTTTAATTGGCTCTGTATCGCCAGCTTGAATTGTACAGCTGCAAAAATCTTTGGCTTTCCCTTTATGAGGAAAAATAACTGGCATACATTCATGCATATTCATGACATATTTGCCAATTATGTAAATTAATATAATTATCCCATCTTCCACTAGCCCTACAAAACTCACTGTTCCATATTTCCCATTTCAGACCAGAAGGATACTCTTTAGATTAATCTTTACTAGTCATAAATTCTTTGTATTTTTAACAATCAATACAAGTTGGGGTCCTAATTATATGGTTAGCCATCCTTATCCTCCTCATGATTTCACTGAAGAAAATCAACTTGGTATAAGAGGCTTTCAGAACCTCTCAGAATTGGTCTGTTATTAGTGAAAGTCAGACATCCATTTATAAATTAATCTGGACTTCTACTATCAAAGAAAGTTCTGGGACCTAAAAGGACACTGTTTTCAAGATGAAAAAAGAATTTTGCAGACCTAGAGGCAAAGGTAAGTAGGAGGCCCACACAGCTCTCCTTCCCTGTGAAGGTTTAATAGGGTTCATTACACAAAGAATTGACATATCTTCATCTTCTGGCATGAGTAGCTACACTATTAATGGAGAAAGTGCAGTGACTTTTAATGGGAGGGCAGAACGTTAAAAAGGCTTAACCATTGCTGCTCTCAAAACTGGTTATATTGTAACTCAGCCTTTGCACCTATCTTCAGCCACTCCTTCCTGTTAACACTTTCAAGGTGCAAAATAGAAAGAGGTAATCTTTTTAATGAGGACAAAATAATGAAAGGAATATTATTTGATCTGTTTTAAAGCAATTCTTTTACCTGAGAAAGTCCGGTGCTTTGGAAATCATGTTCTCAAAGTCTGAAAATCCTAGTTTCCCATCGCCATCCATATCGGCTTCTTCTATCACTTTCTCACACACTAGAACACTTTCTTCTGCTGTTAGCTCTTCTCGTGTCAGCTTGTTGAGGGTGTTTTCTAAGTCAGCTTTACAAATGAAGTTATCTGTGTTAAAATCTAAACAGAGGAAGAAATAAAAGATTATCAACCTCCAGATAAGTTCAAACTCCAGATAAGTTCACTTGAAACAGAATGTATACAAAAGTGCATTTACAAACTATTTCTGATTTCACTCCTTTCAATCCTGAGGCCAAGTTCTCTTCAGTAGGTAATAAGCAGAGATCCAGGTTTTCTGTTTCCCATGGAAAAACAGAGAAAAAGGTGGATTTCCCCATTTACCCAAAGAAAATGCAGTTTTCTCATTTGAATGGAGAAACTCACAGATTTTGCACTTTTCAAAGAGTGCTCTGCAGGCTGGCAGAGTTCCAGCCTGCAAGGGGCTGGGAGGGAGTGGGAAGAGCGTGGTCAGGCAGAGGGTACCATGTGCCTGTATATGCACAGGGCTGCCAGGCAGCCTGGAGAGCAGCTCCCACAGGTAAGCTGGGGGGTGGGGAGGATTGAGGCCCCTATAGGAAAGGAGGGAGGGAGGGAATGGGTTTGAGTTGGGAGCTCCTGGAGGAGCAGGTTGGGAGCAGGGCTGGAGCTGGGACTGGGGCTGCTGCCCAGGCGGGGGTGCATGGAGCTGGGGGCCCTGGGCCAGAATGTGTGGCTACAGGGCCCCGGTGGGGAGTAGGACAGGGCCGGGCAGCTGGTGGCTCGTCCGGGGGGCAGGAGTTGGCTCCCTGCCATTGTACACGCTGCCAGGGGACCAGCGGGACCTGTGCCCCTCAGATCTGTGTGTGGGGTGGGTGCGGACTGCCCGCTATGGGCTTGGGCTGCCTGCCCCGCTGCACTCCCCCAGGGCCTCTGTAGTCCAGTGGGTGCAGCACTACAGGGCAGAGAGGGACCATGTGGGGAAGTTGCTTGCCACTGCAAGCTCTATGTTGCCCTAGCAAGGAACCCCCTGCTCACATGGCAGCAGAGGGGGCAGCGGTGCAGGGCTGTGCCCCTCACTGCTGCTGTGCAGACAGGGGTGTCTTGCTAGGGCAGCGCAGAGCTTGCAGTGGCAAGCACTTTCCCCACACAGCCTCGCTCTGCCCTGCAGCACCAGGTCACAGTTGCTGGGCTGCAGAGGCTCCAGGGGAGGGCAGCAGGGTGGGGAGCCCAAGCCCACAGCAGGCAGCCCAAGCCAGCCCCCTCCCTACGCACACATCTGGGGGACACAGGTCCTCCCTGCCCCACCTCACAGAAGTGTGCACAGAAGCAGGGAGCCACTCCCTCCACACACCAGCCCACAGCAAGCAGGCAGCAGGCACCGGGGATGGGAAGGGAGGGGAAGGGAGGGGGACCCATGCTCCAGGCTCTGCTGAAGCAGCTGCTGGCTCCTGAGGGTGGCAGGCAGGGCTTGGGTGCTGCTGTGGGGTGTGGGGGGAAGAGGGCTGCGGATCTGGGCTCCTGGCCCCGTAGCCCTGGGAGCTGGGGAGGGGCAGGTAGGTGGGTAAGGGGACAGGGGCACCAGCAGGACCAGTGGGCTGTGACTTGGGAGTGAGGGCCCTGGACCTGCATTCTATAAGCTAAGGTGGCAGGGGGAACTCTAATTTTCCATGATGAAAAGCCCAAAATCAAATACCAAAATTCATAGGTATTTAGAGTTTATTTTATTATGGTGATTGAGGCACTGGTAGGCTTCCAAACTGCTTTAAAACGGTAAATATATCAAGAAAACATTGTGTTCAATTGATAGCTATATATATAGTGGCCTTTCACTTTAATCACTGATTTTGGGGGTTTTATCGGAGAATATGTGATTTTTCTTCCACAGAATTTGTGATTTTTTTATCATGGAAAACCAGGGTCCCTGGTAAAAAGTAAGTCCAAGTCATTTCAGTCATACTTGATTCTTCCCTATAGAGTACAAGCAAGTCCTAGGCTTGTAACCTAATGCAGAGCATTCTTTCTACTCAAATCCAAAACTCTTGGGGTAGAACTCTGTTTTCTGTTATGAACCTAAGTGGCAATTATGAAGATACATAAGTACCATTTTTGGCACTTAAACATAATTTCAGAGTCTATTTTGCCTTCTGGCAAAACAGAAGTGCCTTACGTGTTGGTGTGTACACCTGCTGGGAAAGATGGAGGAAGGTTTCCTGCCATGCTTTAGCCCATCAGCATAGGACCCCCTCATCCTGAGGGGCTTTGAACTTGCATCTTCTGCTTTCCAGTAAGGTGCTCAAAACACCTGACCACAAGTTAGTTATTATCCAACATGATCTAATTATCAGATGTGCAAAGATATTCTAAATAGGCCACAAGAGAGAAAGCAAGAGAATTCAGAAAGTATCCTTGTCTGTAAGAAATATTCTTTTCTGGTTTCTACAACTGAATTGATATTATAACTCTTCAAAACAATATTATTTCTCATCTTTATTTTTATCAAGTTCATAAGTCACTTGATTTTGGAGTATTTTAATGAAAGAAGAAATACAAGGCATTTTTACACATGCATGTGCTGCAGTGCCGGGCGCTTTGAAAAGCACCTGGAGCTGCAATGCATGCAGTTGTATAAGCAGTGAAATGCACGCCAGCTCAGAGAAAATGGCAGCAGTCCACTTTTGAACTAAAACATATCAAAGGTGTTTTAGTTTAAAAGTGCACCGCTGCCATTTTCTCTGAGCTGGCGTGCATTTCACCACGTATACAACTGCAAGCAATGCAGTGTGATGCATGTCAGCTCGTGTGCAGAGCAGACTCAATTAATCAAGTCTGCTCCAATGCACCAGATCTCTGGCGCTTCACAGCACAAAAAAAGTATGTATATAAATGCCCACAGTGTTTCACTGAGAAGATGAACAGATGCTGCCTTACATCCATCATGATCAGCTCAAATACCAGAACAGCTTTTCTTAGGGTAAGTTCCTATGTGATGAAAACAGTTGTGGCCTGATCCAGGAAAGCACTCAAGACTGTGCTTAGTATAAGTACTTGAGTAGTTCCAGATGACCAATGAAACAATTCATATGGTTAAGGGTACAATTTTTTAAGTACACACTTTGCTGGGTTAGGTTACTGTGTTCAGAAGCTTGCAGAATTAAGCTGTTAATTTGACTCTTATTTGATTTTTGCCTAAGTACACAACTAATTAGCTAGTGAGAATCTGTCTGGCACAGAGGGTTAACCTGAATTAATGGAACCTTTTATCTATAGCACCTCCACACATTACCATAAATCTTAAAGGCATAGATTGCTTTGAGCTCTCTGGGAGCCATTTCACTGAGCACAGAAAACATGTCCACAAAGTCATTGAAGCTGAGGTTCCCTTCTCCGTCCTCTGAGAAAGACTCCACAATCCTCTCCCTGAAGGGGTTCTCCTGCAGAAAACATAGAGGCTTAAGTTTAGTACTTGGAAGAAAACAGCAGACTCACTATTACTACATTGGGAAAATATTTGAATCTTTGTTTGGTTCTTTGAAAAGACTCCCATTCCCCTTCCCTAAGTCAGAAAAAGGATGAATATTTCAACTCTATCTTTGCTTTTGCTATGCCTGTGGCTCTGATAAAAGTCATCCACTCTCTTAGCTTATTTAAATAGATCCAGTGCCTGACAGACTGTCATGTCTACACAGCCAGGAAGGCTGAGACCTACATACTGAGATGTTAGAGGGAGTGAGGAAGGGATGGGGAAAAAAACTGAGGGGTACTGGAGGTGATAACTTAGTGGAACAAATCCCCAGGGCCCAAGTACTCCTCATCCTTTTTCTAGGACCTGACTGAGGACTAGAGGGGCAACACCATCTTCTTGCTGTGAGTCAACCAATTCTGTGGCGTACCAGGCTAAGTGCAGAGGGAAGAGCTCTCCCCTCTAACAAGGTGGGAAGAGGTGGATGCACCAAAACTGCCTCTCACAGGTAAGGAAGGCAAGCTGACTTCCCCAGCTACAGTTTGTGTCTCTTGGGAAGGGTAGCCTCCCTGAGAAAGGTACATCTTTTAATAGTATATGATATTTTGTAATGAACCACAAGAGATTGGTCCTGGACCAGTCAAATGGACAAATACCTTCACTAGCGGCTTAAGCTGGTCATGGCAAATGTGTAAGGAAAAGGCCATTCCATGTCAGCCCACCAGAGCTGTGAGACATTCAGCTTGAGCAGCAGTTGGAAGAGGAAGAGAAGAATCATATTCTGGATCTCAGACAAAGGAAGGGGTTTTGCTATGAATAAACTACGTGTAACAGACTGCCAACGTGGGCTCACCAGATTGCCTTGAGATACTTACCCTGGGCTAGAAACAGTGCCGGTGAACTCTGAGCGACCCCAAGGGTGGAGCAGGGGAGCCCTGCCCCCTGGAGAAGGGGAAGCCAATCTAGAGAAGGGGTTTTCAGTCCCCTCATTTGCTGGGAAGGGGGATGGCCGGGGCTGTGGGTCAGTCACCCTGAGCCCTGGCTGGCTGGTTTGCAAGCCAGGGAGGGACTGCTGGAGGGGATAAAAGCAGCAGCTGAACTGGCGCGGGGGCTGCAGACAGTGACTCTGGGGAATGATGCAGGAGGCCTAAGAAGATCTGGGGTGAGCTGACCCAGCGGAGGGAGCAGAGAGACCCCTCTGAAAAGCCTCAAAGGCCCTGGGAGAAGGCGGCAGCGGCAGTCGGCCATGCCTCCAGCCCTGCAGCAGAGGGGGAGCCGCAGCCAGGGCTTGGGGCAGAGAGGTCGTGCCCAAAGGCCCCATTGCAGGGGGCTAGATGGCAGTCGGCCCCCCACTCCACTGCGGAGAAGCAGCAGCAGCCAGGAGCGCAGGTGACATCCTTATCCAGAGGGAGCAGGGAGCTGAGCCAGTGAGTTGAGGAAACCCCTCACCTTCCCTGGGGAAGCGGGACAGCAGCAGGCAAGGCACTGGGATCCTGAGGAGCAGCAGAGCACCAGGACAAGGGTCCCCAGGAGCTCGGGGCGCAGGTCAGCGCTTGGAGCGGGATTGGCGAGCTGCAAGGCGTGTGGGGTGCCCGGCCAGTCATCTGGAGCAGGGGTTTAGAGCAATGACCCCTGGGAGCTGCCTGTGCTGCTGACCCTCTGCCACTGACTGCCCCAGAGGGGACTCAGTCCTGTCCCTTATTCTGCAGCTGATTGTCATCAGATGGAGTCCCTGAGCTTTGTGCTTAGGTCATACTGATTGCTGCAGGAGCCCACTCTGTTGCTTGTTGCTTGCCTTTTTGGTTGCCACAGAGGATCACCCTTCAGTCTCTTTGGGGGTTTGGGGTTTGATACAATTTGATTGCTGCAGACCAGAAGAGCCTACACTGTTGCAGTCTGTCGCTTATTGGGCAGCCTGTTGGAGCTGCTGGAAGCGAGCACCCTGCTTCCTTGCTGTAGCAGCTCAGCAGTGGCTGAAAGCTCCCAGTTCCCCTACCTGTGTTTCTTGAGTCAAGGGTTGACTAATGCATTCTGGTTTGTTTTGTGATTCTGGTTATGCCATTTAAGTTTGTGTGTAAATAACCTTTCCTATTTTTCTTGTTTTGTAAATAAAGTGTAAATAGTTAAATCAGTTAAGTGTTAGACCTTCTTGGGACTACGGGCTGCTCTGTGGCCAGCCGGAAAGTAAAGTGGTGCTGGCCAGAAGTCCTGCCCCACTCTCACCACACCATCCCTGGTCCATTGGGCAGGGGTGGCAACTATTGGGCTGTCACCCAGGTTACATATGCAAACTAGGAATGATATTTTCCTTCTCCAGCTGTGACTGAAGATCACTCTTGTGAGTTCCACTCCCACATGATTGTCTTCAAGAATTGACAGAGCACAGCACAATCACCAAATTCAAGAAAAACCTCCATTTCCCCATCTGCATATCTATGATTTTGAAATTACTCAAGATTGTGGCGGTATATCTCGGCTAGGCTTCCGTAGTTATATTTTTTCCCCTGCCCCAACTCTTGACTGAACTTCCATGACTCTTGCTGTGGCTGTTTTTGCCAGCACTCGGAATTAATAGTAAAGGTAAGAGTTTTCTTACCACAGAGATACACTGCCCAGAAATCAAAGTACAAGTTGCATCAAATGCTGTTTGCTAAAGATATTAGGAAACCGGCTAGGATTACCATGGTTGAGGCAGTCATGTCTCTCCATGTCTATTCATTATAGAATCACATTACAGTGTGATTCTAGGGTCTGCCTAACAGTTCTAATGGATGCCTAGCTTCCCAAAAAAGGCTGTTGATAACACCTGATTTAATGAGGTCTGTAGTAACTGAAGAAGTTCAGGAGGATCTGAATTCAGTATGTTAGTGTAGCTCCTCTGCAGCCTTTATATGATAAAATAACTGACCTTTATGATTTCTTTAGTTTTCATCCTGAAACCCTTCACTGTATAACCTCTGGCTCAATTGGCTACAAGTTTGAGAGAGAGTTAAAGAAAATAGAATAGTTCCTATATATTTGTCAGTTCTACCAAGAATGTGCATGTTCTCATGTATAAGGTTCCATACAATTTGTGCAGCTGGCTAAAAATCAGGCATATCAAACTGAACACTCAATAAACTAAGTCATATATAGATACTTATCCTACAAGCTGATCAATAGGTCCTAATTACAATTTAAAATGAAATTTTATAAGCAGCTGCATCTGGGAGATGAGTAACCAAAAAAGGTTTATTTTCGGTTTTACTTAACACGTTCAACTAAGGTTTCCTACAGAGCATACAGGGAGGTGGAACACAGCAGCATTTCCTACTGTGCTAAGGGAGACTGTCAAATACATGGATTATGTACAAAGCAGGGTACCATAAACAGATTAATATTTATACTTCAGCACCTCTTCTTCAAAGAGACATAGGCCATGTCCAGACAAGTGCGGCTGTACAGTATGTGGCATCACAGGCATGTCTGCAGCACCCCATACTGCACATTCAGCTGTTCTCTATGTGGGAAGGGAACAGTGGGGAGGTGGTGGGGTTTGAACCCATGCAAAAATAAAAAAAGCAGAGCGGTGCACAAGGGGACAGCGCATGTTGCTCAAAACGGGAGCCTGGTCGGCTGGGGCTACACTCTGGCTGCTGGCCATTCTCCAAGCAGCAGGATTGACGCTGCTGCAGCCCCAGAAGACCCCCAGGATCCCAGGTAAGGGGTGTGGACATGGCCAGAATCCTTTACTAGGACAGAAACAGGAGTTAGTCCATGCAGCATGAAGAGGTAGCTGCCTCTGGGGTAAGCTACAACAGCTATTATGTGGTTTACTGCTGATTAAGTTAAGAGCTGAAGAATATGGTGTTCATTGGAAACTATGGGAATAACAGAAGCAAAACAATTTAACCATTTGGTGTTAATGATAAAGATGTAATAATTTTGTTAAGATGTAATAATTTTGTTAAGACCTCAAGATCATGTATAATGCATCTGATGGGAGATTTAACAGCAGCCCTCAACTCCCTGAAGAGTGGTTCCAAAGAGAATGGAGCTGGACTGTTCTCAGTGGTGGCAAGTGACAACAAGATGCAATAGTCTCAAGTTGCAGCAAGGGAAATTAAGGTTGGATATTAGGTAAAACTTTCTCACTAGGAGGGTAGTAAAACACTGGAACAGGTTACCCAGACAGGTTGTGGAATCTCTATCCTTAGAGGTTTTTAAGAACTGGCTAAACAGAGCCTTGGCTGAGATTATGTAATTGGGGATGATCCTGCTTTGAGCAGGGGGTTGGACTAGATGCCCTCCTGAGCTCCCTTTCAACTCTAATTTTCTATGATTGTGTGATTCTATGAATCAGGTTTGCATACCTAACAGTGCTGACCCCATCGCACCCTTGAAAGGATCTCAAGGTACCCTGGTTGAGAAATGGTGCTCTACTGACCCCAAAGAAGCTCACTGATTTACAGTAGTTGAAGATCTAGCCCAGGGGTTGAGAACATTTCTGGGCAGAGTGCCAAAAAACACCTGCAATCTCAACTTGTAAAATGTTGGTGTGCCAGGGCCACTCGGTGGGGGAGCCACAAGGGGTCTGATCCTTTTTGTGGCAGCATAGCCCCAGCCCCTTCCCAGCCGTCTGTCGAGGCACACATGCACCCACCGCCAGCAACAAGCTAAGCTCCATGGACCCCAGTGCAGCCTCTTGCAGCCTCCTGGCTGCCTGCCACAGCTGACCCAGGATCTGGGCAGGCTCCTGCCACATGCCACAGAGTCTGGACTGCTTGCAGCAGGTGGCAGGGAGGCTGTAAGCAGCTGCACTGGTGTCCACGGAGCTCCAGCCTGGGTCACTGTCAGCAGTGAGTGCATGAGCACTTCAGGGCGGATGGTGGTGAAGGGGCCAGGGTTGCACTGCCTCAACAAGGCTCAGGCCCCTCACAGCTCCCCCACCGTCTGCCCTGAGGCATGCGTGCCAAGCAAAATGCCTTCGCA